ATGGGCCATTGGCCTAAAATGGTCCTTTGTCACTTCCCCCCAGCTTTTATCCTATTACACAAAGTAAAGCTAGTGCCTCCCAGAGTCACATTCCAGCTGACTCGAACAGTCAGAGTGATTTTTTTTTCAGGCATGTTGCATAGTAGGGACTTCTAAAACCAAAGGCAATTTATTTGTAAAGGGGGTGTGGGAGTATGGGGGAGAGGAGAGAAGGTATCAGAAAAGAAAAGATCTGAAACTTGTAGATGACTGTGAGCTAAAAGATATTGCTATATTTATAATTCATTACACCTGAGCACATCTCTCAGTTCAAGAAATATACTACACATGAAATGGTTTTCACCAGGGCCATGTTGCCTTGTAATATAGTATGAAATAAAGTTGACTTTGATGCCCTGGTAGGAAGGGCTTACTTAATACAAAAGATTCTGAAGGCTATGAGATAACGAATTAAATGACTGCCTGTTAGGTGGATTTTGAGTTCAGTCACGGCTCTATATTTCCTGTAGACATCGGCAAGAAGTTTTTCATGTCAATCCTATTCTTTATAAAGAATCGATTTGCCAACATAAAGGAGAAAGGGGTGAGGAGAAAGGGAGAATGTATTTGCAATCAGTTGGAGAAAGCTGTTCAGTCTTGGTAATAAGAAACATCACAAATAAACCAGGTCACATTGGAAAGGACGGAATGTCCCTTGATAACAGGTACATATAATTTACTTCTGCACTTCTACCTAGCTCCCAATATACTACATTTCTCAATATTTTCCATAGGAAAAAAGTAAGGAATTAATATTGTGAGATAAATGATTTAAATTAAAACTTATTTTGATTGAATATCTGCTTTAAATATTTGGAACTTAATAAAGCCAAGTATATTTTTCCTTCTAGAGATTTGATTGGTCAGGCTGTTTTCCCCCAAGTAGGTTTTTAATATAAAATTAAGTCCCACTTTTCTAACAGCTGCTCAGTTATGTACAACCAAGTTTTACACAGCAGATAAAAGGAGTTTCTGCTTCATAGTTCTAAGATAAACAACAGTGTGAATGCTGGTTGAATTTATCTTTCTGCGTGTGTTTAGATATTTCAAAAAGTCAATTTCTTGGGGCAGCTATGTGGCTCAGAGGATAGAGCACTAGCCCTGGAGTCAGGAGGACCTGAGTTCAAATCCAGCCTCAAGCACATAATACTTCCTAGCTGTGTAACTCTGGGCAAGTCACTTAACCCCAATTGCCTCACCAAAAAAAAAAAAGTCAAATTTCTTCCCATGGACTTAAGCCATAGAATTTGGATCTGTTTGCTGGTGTTTTTAGTGCTACTAGTGAAAATAATGGTTCAAGAACCAGCATGAAATGGTCTCATTCTAAATTTTGTCAGGAAAAAAAGAAAAGACAAAGTCAATTACTATCCAGAATGGTCACATACACTTTTAATTCCAGTTGGGGGAAGAGTTCTAAACTGCATGTACTTCATAAATCATCAACGTTATTACGGGAGAATTTAAACATTGAAGTCAGTATGAATGTTGAGTTCTATACTTTTTAAATGAGAAATCAGTGAAGGGCCCAAAAGATTCATAAGCCTTCTTTCCTAGAATTTTGCCAATATTCATAATTACTATGACTTTTCACAACCACTTAGCATTGGCTTTTTATGGAGAAAGCATGTCTGCCAAGTGGGAGACCAAACCTAACAGGGGAGAAGTTATTCCTCTGCCTTAAGGGCTGCTGTTAAAATTAAAAGGGGGAAAAAACCCAACAACCCTCCACACAATACTTAATAGTGTCCCCTGCAAAACCAAGAACCTCCATCACTCTCCACTGTTGCCACACACAGGAAAACATCATGAGTCTTGATTTGATAAAGATGTTTCCCTGTGAGGGGAAAAACCTGATATTAACCATTAGAAGGGTTTCAATGTTTCTCTTTTTAGACCCTTAAAGGAAGAGAGGCTTCCCTCCTTCAAATGCCATAATAGGCTAAGGGACAGCTAGTAGCACTCATGTACCAAACAGAAGGGGAGCTCTTTTAGTAGGGAAGAGAATGAAGGGAGGATAAGGTGGGTATTAGGGCTACCAACCAGGACTCAATTTTGTAGGTTTCTAAGACAATTTCAGTCTGAATCCCTCTAAGCTTATAAAAATACAGAGCTTGTAAGTAGAGCCCCTTATATGGGTCTAGAAACCTATTAAATGTTGTTTCAAGGTATATTACTATAAGGTTAACTAAAAACAAGGTGCTCCAAGGAAGACTTTTACCCCCCCCCAAACTTTGGAAAACAGATTATGATACTACTTCCATTTAAACTGTCAAACGTATAAAAGAACTAATTGGGATCTGGGGTTCAGGGCAAAACTCACCACCACAGCAGGAATGAGTAGGAGTAGCCATGAGGAACATACTTTGCCTCAAATGGAGGAAAAATCAGTATACTCCTCATTCAGTCAAATACACCACTAATCTTTACAAATAAGAACAACAATAATAAAAAAAAATCACAATTCCTAACCTGCAACTCTATGCCAAGTCAGTAAAACCTTCCTAGAGTTACTCTGAATAAAATGACATGGCTATTACGGCCATGAAGAGAAATCTGGTCCAAGTAACAGACCAAGAAATGAAATTCTCCTAATAAGCAGCCATACTGACTACCCTCCCCACCCCCCAAAAATCTCTGATCATTTATGAACAATTACTGTGTCTAGTCTTTGGGGATAACCTCTTTGGCTCATGGCTTTGGTGCTGGCTTTTAACAGAGTCTAAACCCCTACCTTACTCCTCAAACCACATGAAACAAAATGAGAATATGCCTGTGGTTACATCTGGGCCAGACCTGAAAGGTATATAGATGCTGATGACAGGAAGTAGTACAGAAAAAAAGAAAGTTTGCTCCTTCCCTAAAGGTGCTCAGAAAAAGTGTAATAAAGGGTCAAATATAGCCAGGACACAAGGAGACAAGACAGACCTATCCTAAAGAAATGAGATTACCTACATACTAGTGGGGTCTTTGTGGGTGCCCACACCCTGAGAGGGAGAAGAGATGGCTAATTATCAAATCTAATATAAGAGGCAAAAGCCCCAATACCAAATAGTGTGCCTGAGCTGTTAATTCAACGGACCAAGGAAACGGCTTCTTGGCCTAAGATAACAGCTGCACCTATCCAAACGGCCATTGGCCACCACAATTAAAGAGTAACAGACCAAGTTCAGTTACTAGGAGGCTTGGGGGTTTATGGAGTCATCTTTGCCTAAAGAAAACTGGGTCAGAGGAAAATATCAAGAGCAGCTGCTATGTACCGAAAAAGTTCCATTAAGCTCTGATCCTTCCCGTGTGTGTTTTCATGAGCTGTGGGGAAAACGATTTTCAATGATTTGAATGCAGTTCTCTGAACACAAACTCAGAGGTTCCAGTTGTGACAACATAGAACGCAGGTGACAAGCTGAACCGAAATGTAATTTGTATGTTAGGATGGGTGAAAAATGAAGGCGAGAAGATGCACTCAGGGAGAAAGCAGGGACGATACAGGAGCAGTAAAGACATTCAGCCGATTAGCTTCTGATCATGTCAAAGTACAGCACATCATGCAGTACAGATTTTACAATTGTACATACTTTTTACATGGATATAGAAATATTTAAGTTAAAATTAATCTCTTTACTGATATACTCAAATTTTAAATCCTGAGAAGAAAAAAGGAAAAATAAATCATGGCTGTGTGTGGGCCAGATCCCCCTCCCTCGATACCCCCCACCACCACACACCACAGTCTACCAAAGTCCAAGAGACAGGGATTACATGCTGGGAGTGTTCACCATGGAAATGGGATTTCCTTTTCCTTTCTGCTTGAGAGAGACGTTAGGAAACACTTTCTAAAGCTTGATTATACCAGACGATAGCTACATCAAAATGTGAAAGTGTCCAGTGTCAACAACCTGCACGAAGGAAGTACTTCTGTCAAAGATTCAGGATCAGTTGCAACCCAGTGACAACAAACAGGTTGAACACTTAGAAAAATATATAAACACCTGGTTACTTTGCATTTAGTACTTGCCCTATCATACAGAGTTAACAAAAACAGTTGTTGTGGCTTTGCTTTTTGTTTTTGTAAAAACTGAGTCTCAATCCCAATATTACCCGAGGTATGTGAATGATGTCCCTTTACCATGGCCACCCCATTGCAAACAAGCACTTCTGTTACAGTGTGAAAGAGATGCAAACACTGGCATGGGAGAATCATGAAACCCAGAAATCCCCTTTTTTGCTTGACCTATCCCCAACTCCCATCCAGGGTGAAATCAGGGGTCCTCATGTTTTGCCTTGTGTCCACACCGGACTCCAGCCCAAGCTGACAATCCCCACACTGTCCAGCTCCACGGAGCTTTCAACATGTTGCAATCTTGTGGACATTTTGCAAACAAGTCAGCAGTCGGTGGTAGGGATTTCCTGGAGATGCTACCACCTCAAACACAGACTGAAAGGCCCTGCGATCTAGCTCCTCATCTATTTGATGTCTGTAAAAGTCTATGGCCACCAGACAGAAAAGATTAATGTCCACTTGTTCCGACTTCCCCATCCTGCTGATGATGTGTGGAAGGCTGGGAAAGGAGTTAAGGGCATATTATTGGGAAAAAAAAGAAAAACAATGCTAAGGTTGAAAGTTTGGAATTCTCCACCCACTGGGATTCTTTTCCAACTAGAAGAGGCTAAAAGTGGATTCCCTCAGGGAATAGATTCTGCAGAGAAATGTCAGATAATCAACGACAAGGAAAATACACTCAATGAAGAAATGTCTTTAGGAGCCATAAAGTTCAACCAAAGTTAAGCTGAAAAATCTAAATCTCTTCCCTCATAAAAGAAACTCAGTGCCCCTCGAACCCTCTTGTTGATTCCTACAGGCAGCAGCCAAGAGGGCACGATGAGACAGGGCCTCTGAGGGAGCTAGTGAAGGCAATGTGAGCCTGAGCTGAGCTGGGACAAGTTCCCATTGGGAGACGACTTACCAAGGCCTGTCTTCCCTCTGCAGAGCTTCCTCTCGGTGCTCTGACTTTTTCCGTGTGTAATGTGTGCTGGGCAGTGCCATGGCCTCACTCCGTTGGCTACTCCAGGGGCTCTGGGTGATGTCACCCTGTCATCACTAGAGCAGCTGAACTACTTTAAGGCTATTGTGGTTTGTCTGAGGGGGAAGGTTGCCAGAAGTACGACTTTGGCGTTTAGGGTGGGAATTCCAGCAAATACTCTTTTCTTGGCATCTTGGCCAAGAGAGTGGAATGGGGCACACTGACAACAAAAATAATGAAAAGCAGCATCAGTTTAGAAAAAAAAAAACATCCTAAGCATTGAAAATGTGTTCAGAGACTAGAGCCTTAAAACCTGCTTCAAAATTGGTATTCCTTTTAATAAAACAATCCTAAGCGCTCTTTCTTCACATTTATCTTATTAACAAAAAACAACAAAAAGCAAACATCTTCAAAATGAATGCAAGTTTCCCGGGGGGGGGGGTGGCGGGGTAAGAGGTGGAGATTAAACTCTAATGATCCAGTCCTCTGAAAACCCACCCTTGGAAAAAACCCACGAATGTGAAAATGATGTGTTTCAGGTTCTGGAGTACTAACACAGGACAAGAAATAGGACAAACAAGTATGGAGGCTAAGGACATGATGTAGAGACCGAGCAGAGGATACACTGCTGAAACCCCACTGACTAGTGGATGCACTGACGAAAAAACAGGAGAGACTCCACATAGCCATTGCGACTGGGGTCCTCTGAGTGAAGTTTGAGAGAGAGAGCATCACCCAATCTCGGACCATAGATGATTGTCCTGTGGCGTGCAACGTCTGAAACACCTGAAAAACAATGCAATGATCCAATATGTTTCAGTGGGAAACTGAAGTCTTTACAATAAAGGAAGAGCGAATACTTAAAAAGGTAACTATTGAAATACAGCCAAGTTTCTGAAAAAGCCCTGTTAGGATCAGGTACACAATGAACAGAAAAAAAGAGCACGGTAATCTAGTGTTTAACAAACCCAAAGATTCTAGCTATTGGGGCAAGAAGTCACTATTATGACAAAAATTGTTGGAAAAATGAAAGGAGTCTGGTAGAAACGAGGCATAAAGCAGCATCGAACACCGTATATCAAAATAAGCTCAAATGATTTAGACAAAAAATAAATGACATGAAAATAAAACTGAATAAAAAAAAATTAAAAAGTCTGTTAGAATGGAATCTTGCTAAATTGCTAAGTCTAATGAGTCAGATTGACTTAATACCATTTCAGTACTTCCAGAACACAGTTTAATAAGGGGGGGGAGGGAGGCGCGAAGGCTTATATTACCAGGATAATATAAGGTACTTATATCTTAAAACTATTTTTCAAAATAACCTCAATTTTATACTTGTGAAAACCAACTAAGAACACACTACCTTATATACAACAGTTGCCATGAATTGTGGATACGGCTGCTGGTTTGATAGAAATTCTCCAATTACTTTGTTCATTACATCCTGAGGAGGGAAAAAATCATCTAGAAACTGAGGAAGGATCCGTGCCACCACTCTGGCTTCACAGGGAAATCCTTTCCTGATCCTAAGTGAAGAAAGAGAAGAGATGTGAGGAGAGAAAATGAAGATTTAATTCACGAATTAGAAGACTGATCTTTGGAATATGGCGTAATCCTGCCCCTAACTCTACCTCATCTGGCAGCACTTTACACTGAATTGGCCTCATAAGGTTGAGAGTGCCCTTGACCTCAGGGCCTGTATGTAAACTGCAAAGCTCCCATATGAGTTTTCATGAGCTACAACAGATTTATTTAAACTCATCAAAGATTTTCATTAGTGGAAAGAACACCTTTGACAACTGCTCTGCAACTTCACGATCTCAGAAAATCTTACCAAGCTCCGAGAGGTGAAGTCACTTACCCAGAATGAGTCAGAGATGGGGCTCCAGTCTGGGTCTTCTTGACTCCTTGTCAAGGTCACTATATGCTATACCACAACACCTCTACCATGAGCTATTATATTAAATTAGTTAGATCTTTTATTTCTAGCAAAAATTAGTAATTATATTTAATAAAAATCAAATACTCTCTTCTTACCTTAAAGTGCTCTTCCCCTAATTTTTTACTACTGAAATACTACTCATTCTACTCATCCAAGGCCCAGCTCAAATACTTCCCCTACCAGAAAGCATTTCCAAATCCCCCAAAGCAGAGTGATCTTTTTTACCCAAGAACCCTCCACTGAATCTATCTATCATACTCTGTATTAAATTACTTGTGCACAGTCTATATCTCTCACTGCTTGACTGTGGGCTCCCTGAAAGTAGGGCAATGTTATATTTCTCTCTAGATTTCCCACAGTGCACAGGAAAGTGCAGCACACAGCAGGCGAACAAATTAATGAATCAAGGAAAACACCACTATCTGCATCAATTGTAGTGAGTTATCCCACCAACTCCCCACCTTGGCAGGTACAAATGGGAACAACAGGGCAGGTTAGGAGCCCCTGACTCCCTGACCCCTCTGAAATGGTCTGGGAGAAAAAGACTAAGCGGCATTATTCCAGCTTCTCCTTTCGACTTTGGCAGGACTGTAGCCGAGCTACCTAATAAATGTAGTTGCCTGCTTTGGCAATCTGAAAATCCTGATGACCACTCTCAATAAACTCTTCCAGAGTCCTCCAGTAGTTTGAAAAGTAGTCGTAACATCTAATCTTCACCTCATGCATATCTTCTATTCCCAGCTTAGGCAGGCAGACAAAAAAACCCACCTGCTCAATGAGTACCCATTCCTTCATCCACTTGAAGATGCCCAGAGAACCTAACTCTGTTTTTCCAGCACTATCTATATTAATGGCACATGCTAAAACTATGAGGCTGAAAAAAACGTCCTCCACCACAAAGCTGGCTATGGGACACATTTCCTCATGTGGATGATTTAGGGATTAAATGCACACACACACACACACACACACACACACACACACAAAGTCATCTGCTAATGCATTTCTCAAATTATATTCTATAGAAGCCTGATGTTTCATGTGATGTGTCTAGGAATTACATGAAAAAATGCTGGTGCCAGTAATCTTTTTCCCTCTAAAATATTAATTATGACATCACTTATGAATCAATACTACATGCAACAACTTTCTTCAAAAAAAAAAAGGCTTAGTTTCCTGTTTTACTCCAAAAGTCTAACTCCTACCTTTCCTAGGGGTCTTCATACTTAAAAAGCCTTGGACCAGCAAGTATAAGCTCCCTTAGTGTATTTCACCCCCCCCAAAGTGTTCTGGGGTGACTACTCTAGAAAGACTGGAAACTACTGAAAGTATGTTCACTTCCCTGTATGCCTTTGGGAAGGTCAACAATGTAATTATCCAATTTTTTTTTGTTTGGCTACATATTGAGCTGAAAAAAAATTAAATACCAAGCAGTCATCACACAAGAGAAATACAGTAATGTCTTTCTAAATGTACACTTTTAAATTAACATAAAATCATAGAACTCAGAAACTAGAAGCAACATTAAGATCTTTTACTTCAAGTCCCTTGTTTCAGTGATGATGACCCTGAGGCCCAGAGAGGGAAGGGCTCCAAATCACAAAGTGAATTAGGGACGGAGCTGGGACCAGTACTTATGCTTCCTCACTCCCAGATGTTCATGCCATCACTTTCTGTTTCCTGACACTAAAAACACTGGCTAAAGCCATTTCTGGCATAGGACTTCATAGGCATAGGACACAGAAATCCTTAACAGTTAACAGTCCTCACTGTTGAATAATGTATCTTGTCCCAAAGAAGACAAAGCAACAAACACACAAAGGGGATCTAGCCATCACCCTCTTGCCCTAGCTAATACCCTCATCTTTCTGGTAAAAAAAAGACAGATTGGGGATTAGGCCCTAACATGTACTGTGCATTCCTTGACTGCTCCCTCCCGCCCTAGACTTTAATAAATGCTTATAAAAGCTTTATCTTTCAGGGCTCTACAACCTTGTATAGGTCCATTAGTGTAGGGCTAAGGAATGAGCAGAAGACAGCAGTCCAAAGAAGATATGGATACTTCAAACAGAATGAAGTCTTCTAAGAGGTTCAATTTCCTCAGAAAACTTAAAGTTATTTGTTAATGTTGTCAATAGAAATGCCCTGTACTGATCTGGTTACTTACCTAGACAACATTCTGATTTGTCTCCAATATGACCAGGGCTCACCCAGATAGTGTGAACAATCCTACAGTACCTTGAAGAATATCAGGTTTCTGTCAGCTTTGAAAAATCCATCTTCAATCAAGCAACTATAGGATTTGTAGGGTCAGTGATCTCTTCTAAGGTAGTGGAAAGAGTAGCAGATATGGGGTCTTTGGAGTGAAGAGTACTTAAGCTAAAATCCTAGCTCTGCCAATTAATACCTGTGTAACCCTGGAACTGTTTCCTCATCTGTACAAAAAAAGGGCTAGGCTAGGTGGTCTCCAAGGATTCATTCCATCTCTAAATGGCACGATACAAGATTGTGTTCAATGAAGGGCAATGGTGACTTGAAAGAGTTAATGGAGGGGGTAGGTAGGTGGCGCAGTGGATGGAGTTCTGGCCTTGGAGTCAGGACGACCTGCCTCAGACACTTGACACTTACTAGCTGTGTGACCCTAGGCAAGTCACTTAACCCCAACTGCCTCACCACCACACCCTAAAAAAAGATTACAAAAAAAGAGTTAATGGAGGTCACAGCACTGGCACACTAAGGTCATCTTTAAAACCAAGAATGATAACTCAGGTGTGCACAGGTACCATTACCACCATTACCACCATCTAATGAAGACTTCTGCAGACCTATCCAATAGCAGCTTGAATTCCTAGGCACTTTAAAGTTTACAAAGAGCTTTCTTCACAAAAGTCCTTGGAAGCACCTAGTACAAGTGTTACTTTGCCCACCAGAGATGAGGAAACTGAGTCAGAAAGCTTCCATGAAGTACCTTGCCCAAGGTCAAACAGCCAATAACACCAGAGGTGGAATGTGGACAGACTCTAGTCTTCGGATTCTTCACCCAGCACACATTCCATTACATAATGAATGCCACCTTCTCATTCTCCTCAAAAGCCAAACTGCATTTCCACCTTGGCTCTTTAGAAGATGTACAGCAATAGAAAAAAAACAAACAACCATGGTTTGGAGCCTAGGCTGCTGATGCAGTGTGGTTTCTCCTCTCAGGAAATAAAGAAACATTTAACCAACATTTTGGTTATTGGAGAGTTCCAGTATACAATGCCCACAGTATTCTCTGTGGTTTCAGGATGGTGTCACTTTAGGATGCTACCCAATTATGGGGTACAAACTCTCTCCCTATGAATGATGCGATGATCACTCTGCATCATCCTAAACCAATTTCATACACTAGTCATAAAGCTTGTTTTGGTGAAGCCGTGGCTGATAGGGATTTCCTCCTGTGAACGCCCCTAGAGCCCACCTGTCGACCAAGAGTTCTATGACAGAGGAAGCACACTGTGGGGGGTCGTGAAAACATCAGAGCCTAATCAGGATTCAAATGGGAAATATCAGCATTATTACAACACCAGTGCTAACAAGAATAAATACATTCAAATGCCATTGTTCCTTAGCTAAACTAACAATGCCTTTAAGGGTAAAAGATGTATCAAAGGGGAAAATTCAAATCATA